CCAACCAAGCCAATGAAGTAGTGCTTATTCAATGGGGAAATAACCCCATGGAGTTGCTCATCAATGATAAGGTAGGAGAAATGTCTCATAATTGTTCATTTGTGCAGCAGATATATTTGAAAGTGTTGAACTCGGTACCTTGCCATATTTATAACTCCCAGGTTTGCTCATTCTCACTTTTATTTGAACTCTTCTGTCCTTGCTTTGCAGGTTGCTACCCTGCCATTGGCTGTTAATGATGCCAAATGGCACCACATCTGTGTGACGTGGTCAACTCGGCACGGCACCTGGAAATCTTACCAGGATGGTGTCCAAAGAGGGAGTGGGGAGAATCTGGCTCCTTGGCATCCTGTGAAACCTGGCGGTGTTTTCATACTAGGCCAGGAGCAGGTAAATAGGCCTCTCAATTTTGTTTGCTGTCACTATTGTGCATGGCTCTTCTGAATACATATTTATTGCACTCTTCTTCTACAGGACACTCTTGGTGGCCGCTTTGATGCCACTCAAGCTTTCATTGGGGAAATGTCAGATTTCAACATGTGGAGCTATATTGTGACACCTGCTGAAATTTACAAGATGGCAACCTGCAGTAGCTCCATTGGCGGTGATCTTATCAATTGGACTGAAAACACTATAGAACTTCATAGAGGAGTGATCAAACTACCATATAATGCCTGCCACTAAGAATCAACCGAAGAAACATGGACATAACATTCTCTCGGAGAGAAAGATACCTAATGGTTAAAGGCAAAGCACAGGAGGCTCTTAAGATTTATTTCATACAGTAATAGAAAGGGTTGGGAAATCAAAATTTCTGTGTTCCTTGACAAAAGAATGGCGGTCCTTCATGTTTGGCAAATGTGCAACAAAAAGAAAGTGGTTATGTATGCAGCATCTAATGGCAGGAAAATCTTAAGATTCAGAAATACAGTGAAGTATAGTTTGGAATATATGCTTTATGAAGCTGAGCAATTTTCAATTAAGAAACATTTCCCACACATGATAAACCCATGTATTGGGATTTTCTTAACGTAGCAGCAGGAGCAAAAAATAAAATCCCTCATGATAACAATATGGCCAATAGGACACTTCATTCTCAAGGCCTTGATGTGTAACACTGATCCACTAGGAAAATATTTATGGTAGGTCAAAATCCTTTTTTTGACTAGTTTTCTACTTTTTGGATATTCAACAAGAGGAATGGGGAAAATAATTTGTTAATATTTTTTCCCAGAATCTTTTTCCTGAATGTTCTTTCTTTAGATAAATAGATCAATACCGTACCAGGTAAATTGGTTGGATAATGCCCGACTGTTATCTGCTTTAATTTTTTTATATTATGTATTTTATTTATGTAAGCTTCCTAGTCATTATGTGAGATGAGCACTATAATAACCAATCACAATCTCAAAAGATTTTCAGATTCATTCATCAATCATCTACCACTTAAGCTCTGCACACAAGAATAGTGAATGATGACAGCATTTCTGTTCAGATATTTTCTAGCAGTTTAGTAGACCTTTACCTTGTTCTCAGGAAATCATTGCCAAAAACCCAGTCGTCTAGAGGAAGAGTATGAAACACATACTTCTATATTAATCTCTTAATATCTAAGTTAATTTTTTCTGAGTTCACCGTTTTTCTGCCTCTTTCCATTTCCCACACCCTCCATTAATTTAAATAGTATTTACATAGTGTATATATGTATATGTATGTATGTATATATCTACCTTTTAAACTTGAATAAAGCCATGCTTGAAAAAAAATGTTCCAACCGTGAATCCACTAATACAACCTGGATGTAGATCTGGACCTGGCCTGATCCAAAATTAGAGGCCATATATTAACCAGCTCTGGAAGCCCTGTGTCAGATTTTGCAAGTATCATAAAGTGCTATTATGCATCATTGCAAAAACCACGTTGGCCAGCATTCTGCTGTATCACAGCAAAAACAGTTGTGTATCGTTGTGTTAGATGTTTAACTCAATCTATGTTAAAAGTGACTATGGAAGCCCTGGAAGCCTATGAAAATGGAAAGGTTGAGTCAGTATAGCATAATTCCTATTGCACAAATGAATATAACATCATTTGTGCAAACTGATCGCAAGGCTCAAAATTTCTGGAGAAGTCATCACCCAATAGAAATCTGTGCTGAATATATAGAGCTGCTTGATATGCGGAGGGAGGGGGAAACATTTCTGTGGTGGTGTGTTTTCAGCACTATATAGAGAGAGGTCAAAGACAAAGGTTCATTGAGGAATATCTAAACCCTTGAAAGAAAAAAACAAATATATCCAGCATTCATTGTGGATATTCCTAGGTGATGTCAGAATTCTCCCTGCACTGCAATTTTGATCAGCACTGCTGTGCCTGAACCTGCTTAGAAAATGCTGTAAAATATAACTGTTATACAATTATCTGGTTTATTAGTTTTGCAGCAGCAGCAATAAAGATGCCAGAGCACAATTTTAGTTTAAAGGGGAAAAAAAACCAATAAAGCTTCCAAATGCTACAGTACTAGCTTACCTTGAGGCAGATATTTTAATAAAGATGACTATTTAAGGTAGGGGAAATAAAAAGTAAACCATTAAATCTGAAGTCTAAATTAATTGTACTGATGAGAAATTGATCATAGCAATCCTCTGTATTATATCTGTTTTGGATTAAAATGGAGAGGATCTAAAAAAAGCTTGGGGGAGCAGCAAGACATTCTGAATAAGCATCAAATTTCCATTGCATTTGTATACAGATCTGCAGAAGCACAATCTTTTTAGCCTAGAATTCTATTTTGTAGATTTTGCTTGCAAATAACGGGTTTTCTGCCTCACTTTGAGATAATGTAGTTATTTTATTCAAGGATGGGATGCATAATTTTAATTGTCTTGAATTTTCTTATAGCAACTGGATGCAATAAACTTGTCAAAGAAACTACAATCCTTCTCCACGTGTCTTTGTTCTATTTATAAGTACCCTAGCTACTAGTATATATAGTAGCACATCCCACATGCCCCCAAAACAGAGCTTATTTTTAGGAGAGTAAGCTCATTGTCTAGTTAAAAATGATGTGGACTTAACATTGTTATCCTGAGCATTGTCTACTTGGAATTCTGGGAGTTGTAGTTCTATTCCCCAATTGTCTGGAAGGTGCTAAATTGGAGAGACTGGATAGTGAGAAACCTAAGATGCCACCTTTCCTTGATGATCCATTGTGAATTTTGAACAAAAGCACTAATAAAAAGTTAACCATTTTACATACGCATTTTTAATCTTGATCTGGAGACCATTCTTCTAGATTTCAGAAATGAAGTCTGATTTAGTCAATGTCTGGATTCTGTAAACTTTTGTATGTAATTTCATGCTATTGACTGCTAACAAATAAATCAATTAAATATGTTTAATATACATTTAGACTAAGAGGTGTCCCAAATAGGAGACAGATTTAAGTTTTTAAATGCTTAAAAAAATCCTCCAAGTATCATTGTAAAAGGAATTGGTTCTAACATGCATATTTTGGCTATGGAGATGTCTCTTATAGTACATGGGTGTCTAATCCAGAAATAAAGTTTTTACTTAACAAATTCTGTTTCTTCCCTATGCAAATTTTATAAAATTACAGCTGTAATCTCATCAGAGCTATTAATATTAAATAACATCTCTTATCGGGCGGGACCACCGAACAGATAAATTACTCAATGAATATTTGCTGACATAACACATAAAACATCAGATTTCCTGTAATCATGTCTCCCAGGCATAGAGCAGAGTAGGATATAAGTTATTAATAGTATTAACTGTTATTAATAGGAAAGTAGGAGGAGGGAGAAGTATGTTTGTCACCTGGAGTTACTTATAAAAATAATAAAGGTGGGATATAAAAAATAATAATAAGTAGCACTCATAGTAGCATTTGCAGAATGCCAGGAAATGTTCGACGTCAGGAGAAAACTAAGCATTTATTTTGGGAGAAAAGGGACTCAGGTTTGTTCCTCAGGTAGATCACTCATGTGTTCACAATCTTATTATCAATGGTATTTACTGTATTACATCTGGTTCCTTGGCAGTGAGACGGATATGCAAGATCAGCAGTATATTAATAGCCTCAAGGATTCCTTGGTGACCCTGAGTCCAATGCTACGATCTAACCTGGCTTCTGGGAAGCCTTTGGTAGAGGGAAAAGGTTATATTTAAACAATTTCTATCCTTTTCTGGCATTTTTCAGACACTGTTTTTTAAGTGGAGTTTCCTTTTCCCTTTTCCTAAGTAAAAAAGGATACCTAAAAGAAAGCAAATGTTCGTGAATTCACAACTTCAGTTTCTCCCCTTTGGCCAGTTTAGGTCCTTAATAAATATAACAATAAAATAATGAATCAGCCAAACATAGGTAAGTTTGTGGTGTTTACATATCATCCAGAGATGTATACATTAAATTTTTAAATAATAGTTAACATTTTCTTTAAAAACAAATAAATCAAAAACATCACTGTCAAAGGAAATATCATATAGTTTCTTTCAGTGAAAAATGCCCGTCTTTCTCTTTTTGTTTTCTGGAGCAAGGAGAGAGGGGAGATTGTTATACCTCCTTCCTACAAGACAGATATTAAAATCCACAATGAAGAGTAATGGAGACAAGGAATATTTGTATTGCTGAAGAACAAGTAATAATCAGTCCCTATGTACAAAGATGCTTTTCCAGAGATATAAAATCAGAAGGCAGGTCAAAGAACCAAGGGCAATACTGAGTGTGGAAAGTGTGTGTGTGTGTGTGTGTGTGTGTGTGTGTGTGTGTGTGGGGGGGGGGGGGGGATTGATCATTATTAAGCAGCTGAAAAGAAAGTCTTGGTAAAAAGTGATCCTTCAAACAAATAAAAGGAGCTTTCCCCTGCCTCTCATCTCTACACAAATCATAACTTGGGAGAAATAATTTGGTTATGACAAACAGCTGGAAAAAGGCAGTATTTCCCTCTTTGCCAGCTATGAGATTAATAATTTTAATTTTCCTCTTCTGAAACTCTTGTTTATAAAAATATGTATGTTACACATTTGGATCTGAAATATAATTTAACTTTAGTTAAGAAAGGGAAAGGCTAGCCACTTTGGGGAGGCAATTAAATTAAGATTGAAAAGGAGTCATGAGTTAGGGCAAAGCTGTCCAACCGTGGCAACTTTTAAGATCTGTGGACTTCAACTCCCAGAATTCCCCAGCCAGCCTTTAGGATTAGGGATTAAGGGGCTTCCTACAATGGGTCTGAGCAGGTATAAAGCAGATGGGTCAGCTTTGAGCAAACTTGTTAATGGGTTGTGATGGAAAATGCTGCTTTAAAGAGTATCCTGGATTTTCTTATATTTATTTTTACCAAAGACTGAAAATTAATATCAATCCCTTTCTTTTCACTTGCTGCTTTTTCCTCATGCTTTTCTTCTAAATGGAATAAAACACAACCCCTAATTCTGACCACAGCGTTTCTAACTTGGGTGGTGGGAAGATATTTTCAGTTTAAATCCAATGGGATTTGTACTGGCTGCAGCCAATGTAGCTTTTCTTGGGGCAGGGGATGCTGATCAGGCTGAAATGCACACGGACGAAGGAGGTACTATAATATTAAGCCAGAGACCTTTGCAGCTCCTGAGGACTTTGCACTATTCCGTCACAAAGGCCTGAGATGTGCCACAAAGTGCTTGGCAGTTTAGAAAGCCAAACTCGGGGTTTCATAAAGCCTTCAGGCTCCGAGGGTTATACCCAAGGGACAACCTGAGGAAAAGCAGTGGTGGAAGATTAGATTTAGAGCTCTGAGTGGTACAATATCCCACTCACTGCAGTAGGAGACGGCCTTTGGAGTGAGGTGAGGCTATCATGGGGAAGAACAAACTTCTTAAGTTTTGGAGAGGGTGGGGGGGAAAGGGTAACACAACAACTACAGGTTGACCTTGACATAACTGAGCCTGGAATTATGGTCATACATTCTGCTAATTGTTAAAATGGGTCATCACACAAACCACCTGAATTTTCAACATTTTCGGGGCCTATGTTTGCAATGGGTACACTTTTGCCGGTTAAGTAAATGTCAGGGTGTTGTTTGTTTGTTTTTGCAAAAAGCTTGGTCATGTAACCACGGAAAGCTGAAAATGCCCATATAATGCAAAATGATTGCCAAAACCCCAAAATGTAATCATTGCAGGGCGGGGTTGGGCCCTAGATCTGGAACTTTGAATCTGGGTTGTAAGTACTTGGGGGGAGAGGATGTTTCTATTTTGGTTGCTAAGAGACTGGTCATAAATCAAGGACTATCTTATTTTTGCATTTCTTAACATACACAAAAAAAAGGGGGGGGAATTACACAGACTAATTTTTCTTCCAATTCATAAGCTCATTCTCTTTTTCTTCTTTATTGTTCTCTGATCTAATAACCTGAATGTGCAAGTATCAACAGTTCTGGAAAAATGGGAGAGACAGTTTTTTAACCATCCTGATGGCATAATGACTTATTATAACTGAAGAAAACTGTTTCCAGAATTTTAAGAAAGATCTGAATCTGAAAAAGACAATACAGAGACATGCCAGTGGGAGTGTTCTCATTTGAATTCCTCTGTAAGACCATCAAAAACATATTGAATTAACTACAGAAGGAAGCCCCACATATATTTGCTGCTACACTTGAGGCAGGAAAGAGCGGGGAGAATTAGCGGTAGTGTCAATGTTCTAATGTCTCTACAAGTAATTGAGGAGAGTGTCAGTTTCTGAGTCTAACAATGAAGAATTACAAGCTGTCAGTTACAAATGTGTGTCAGTTATTCCTGCTGGAGGCTACAAATAGTGTTCAAAATTATGTCAGTGCATATACTTTAGTTATCTGGCTCTTTGGCCCCAGCTGGTTGTTGGTGTGTTTACTTCCTTTTGTAAGCCCAAATAATGGGGAATAGGGTATATGTAAACATTAATGTGTCAGACTCAGAATACTGTTTTCTTGGGTGCACAATATGGCTGGTTTGGCAACAAACTCAAAGGGACATCCTACAGAGAAAAGCATGTCAAAAATGCTCATGTGATTATTTGCATCAAGAAGCAGTTTGGGGAAATTAAATGACTTGAGTGATCCTGAAACACCGAAAACTAGCAATTTGAAAGACATGCTAGCTTACTCCCTGATGTGCTTGGCTTAGGCGAGCAAGGTGCGGTTTTTCTGTAGCGATTGAGTGAAAACAAGGGCTTCTCCCCATTCTAAATTGCTAATAACCTGAAGGGGTTTTTCAATTTTTCTTCTTCTCAGACATGCAGACCAGCTGTTATGTTGGGAAGCAGAACGAAGAAGTCCAGTCAAAATAGGAAATGTTCTTTTACCATGATCAAAGTTGGTTGCCCCTAGTCAAGGTGTGGAGGGGTTAAGTGAGATGCTTTGAAACCACCTGACTCTGTCTGATGAAGGCTGAAGATTAATTCAGTTTGGAGAAGCTGCCTCAAAACACAAAGGATGCACATTCCCTGAAGTTACCGCACCATTGGGCAGTTCCCAAGCTCAAGTCCCACTGGCAAACCCCTACAGGGCTAGAGGAAGCTCTTGGGGGGGGGGGGGAGAGATGAGTGAGTGGAGGCAGTGGGATGCTGGCATGCCATTAGACTGGCCAAGAAGTGTGGTGGACCCACAACAGGAATAGTTGGTTTCATGGAGTTCAACCCAGGTGGGCTTGTCAGAAGATCCGAGAGATGATACAGGAAGATGTACAGAGAGGGGGAAGGATGGGAACTAGCTAATCCCCACCTCATGCCTGCTCCTGTTTCTGCTTCACTGAGATGCGTTTCTTGCGGGCAGCCAACATCTCGTAAAAAGGATCCACACTTACAGCAGCCCTGCGAAAAAAGTGTGATATGGAGCATTAAGGAGCCAGGTACAAAAGAGGGGAAAGGACTCTATCCCCATTTAAGCCTCAAGCAGCTTAGCTGGTGGGTAGATCTGGAAGTACAAATTGCAAATCCTGCTTAGCCATTATTATAATGGTTGCTTTTATATAACACAGCCCATTCCAGGCCTTGCCTGATGTCAGAGAACTTCTGTGTTCATAGGACAAGCTACAATCTAAAATTATGCTATATTATGCCCTTTGCTCCACAGAACATGTTAAAATAGTGGTTGGGCTCCCATATTTTTTAGCTCAGTTTAACTCTATTAGTTCCACCCATTGTGTTATACCAACTAACCCTTCAATCAAATCAGCGGTCTAAACATATGCTTAACAAGGAAATGAGGAGAGAGAAAAAACAGGAGAGAGGAAAAGAAGTAAATGGCATGTCTATACATACTTGTTGACATGTTAAGTCACAACAAAAGGCGTGCTCTTTAGGCAACCTTGCTATATGCACTGCAATGAGGAAATGCAGCCTCAGACCAAGAGATTAAGATGAGAAAGTTTTGACTAAATATTTTAATACGGTAGGTTACATGCTAAGTTATTTTTGAAGGAAGCAAATTGGACATATCTAGGCTTTATGGGCTATTTGATTGCAGATGTTGCATTACCCACTTACTGCAAAGAAGTGGCACTACAACATTAATTTTTTGCCTTATTAGCTCTAGGTTTTCCAAGAACCGCACTATGAATTTATGTCCTATTCAGAACGTTGAGTAAAACATTTAGCCTTTACTAAGCTGCATGAAAGCCTCTCTGGACTGTTCCCATTCTTAACGCATGTGGAAAGATTAAAACTTGGGACCTTAACTGAGCCTTCCCAGCAATACTTTATATAACAGAACCACTTCTAAGATTACCAAATCAAGTTTCTCTTCTTCTTCCTCTAGCTCCAAAATCTCTAAGGACTATATTAAGAATATTCTATCAGTTTCTTTTTCATTTCTGAACTATTTCTGAACTTTTTCATTTCTTTTTCATTTCTGGTAACATAGTTCTTCTTCTTGGACAAAAGAAACCTTTCTAATTTAAGAATATCTCTGCATGACAGATATTAACTGAGAAGAACAGACAGGGTTAAAAGAAAAAGAAAAAAGATATCCCTAAGACCAGAGTTCCCCAACGTTTCCAGTTTTGTAGACCGTTGTTTTTGGAGGTTTTTTTTTGGGGGGGGGGAAAGAAGGGGAATGGTTTCTCACAAGTGCACTTGCCCGTGTTCCATTTGTGAGTGGTGTGCACATGCACCTACCGCTCACCCAAATGGAGCACACATGCATGTGCTCACTCGTTGCTTGTGCAAGTGAGGCTGCGCAGGCTCTTTGGTCATTTTGACAACCCGGTTGCAAATGTCTCACAGCTCAGTAGTGTGCCTGGGCTTACAGGTTGGGGACCCCACCCCCCTGCCTGAGACAATGTCTGTGTCTCCCAATATTGAACAGATTTTTTTTTTAAATTAAAGAATATCTCCCAAATCTTATTAAGTCAGAGTAGGGATGCCAAATTTCAGGGAGGTTTCAAGATTTATGGAATGGTCACTATAACATGTTCTGACGATTCTGTGCCAAAGTTTTGGTTAATCTCCACAGAAGTTAAATCAGTTGCTTTCTGCTAAATAGTCCTGGAATTTAAAGTGGATTATGAGGAGCTAAGAGCTGGGAATCAAGAATCCTGAAAAAGAAATAAATTCTTATTCTCACTTGATGGATTTAATCCACTCGTCTTTTTCTTCCTGTGTAGGTGCCGAGATGCGGTAGACCATATGATTCCCCTCAACCACACGTCCATCCGCCTCAGTCTTACAGGCTTTGATTAGCTGGCCCTTGTTATTGGGAATGTAGAGCTCAAAACAATTCTACAAAAATAAAATAAAAGAGTGATGAAAGGAAGAGAAAGCCTTTAAGAGGCCAGCCCTTTGCAAATGGTTTATGAAAATGCCTTCCAGCAGGTTTGTGAGTACAAAGAAGGGAAATAAAAGATAATATTTTGAGAAGAGAAATAAAAGGGAATACTTGTAATTCAGGGTTGAACTGTGGAGTCCTTGAAGCTCTCTGAGCTTGGTTGTGAAACATATGAAACAGAGGTAAATGAAGTATGGAAATGATCTATCCTAGAATTTTTTTTAAAAACGCTTTTGCTAACTCTGACCATCCAATGTCTTCAAAGTATGCTTTATTTGCCTGCCTGCACGAGCTTTAGTTGGGGACAGTTGGTCAAAGGTAGATAAACAGAAGAAAAGTGAAATATAAATTTTTATGCAAACAAAGAGTGGCCAACCACGAATCATATCCAGCAAGCAGCCACTTTAGCAATGCTGTAAGCAATCGTAATGTAGCATCACTTACTGGTTTCCGTGGGTCTTCTACTTCCCGAATGCTTAGGTTTTCCAATGGGATGATGCCTCTTGGCTCTTTATCCTAAAAATGGATTTTAAAAATATGAATGAAACAGAATAGGCCCAATAATCTAGGTAGGAAGGAAAGGTAGGGCATTGAAAGCATCTGTTCCAGGAAATCCCTTGGAGAGCCAAGTTTAATTAGTCTCCCTAATTTGGGATTATAGCTCCTAAAATTTTTAACCATAAACTAATGTCTAGCTGGAAATTCTCAGAGCGATATTCTCAATGTGACTGGAAGGCACACATTTGAGAAAGATAGGGCCTTTTCTACAGTTTGAGGAATGAACACTGCTGTGATATAGTAGTTTTAGTGTTGGACACACGCCCGCCTCACTAGATGATTCTAGTGAGCACTGGTGGCATTGTGGTTAGAATGCAGTACTGCAGGCTGACCATGCCAACTGCCAGGAGTTCGATCTTAACTGGCTCAAGATTGACTCAGCCTTCCAATGTTGGTAAAATGAGGACCCAGATTGTTGGGGGCAATATGCTGACTCTGTAAACTGCTTAGAGAGGGCTGTGAAGCACCGTGAAGCAGTGTATAAGTGCTATTGCTATTATTTCTCAGCCGAAGCTCCCTAAGGCAGTTGTGAAGATAAAATCAAGGGTGAGGATAATCATACCTCAACGAAGGCAAATATACATGTCCCGGGATAATGTTGCAAGGTCAAATCTGGGATGGTCACCAGGACCAGAGATTTACCCTTCTGAGCTTTTGGACTTATGCTGGAGCCCATCATCAGGGATCTTCTCTCCACTGGAATAGGTGCTTTGAGCTATTCTTTGAGTCACATTTGTGTGGTGCGTTCCCATTGGCTGAATGGAAATTACTGAAGTCTGGGAAATGGTTCCCTTATCAGTTAACAGGAGTGCTAATTTTCCACCAGCTTAGGGCCCTTCCATGGGGGCCTGTCAGCACAAGGACACTTCAGCCAATCTCCAGCCATCAACACATCAATCAGCCATTAGGAAGGCACCACATAAATATTACTCACAGAATAGCCCAAAGCATGTATACCAATACGAAGAAGTTCCCTGAGGATGGGCTCCAGCAAAGGCTGAAAGCTCAGAAGAGTAAATCTCTGGTCCTGATGACTGAACCAGATTCGATCTTACAATCATCATATCTGATGACTTCAGATGATATAGATTTAATAAAGAAGATTAGAGTCTTAACCCAGAGAAGCCAGCTCTTCACCAGCGTGACGGACTAGGTGGCATTCCCTGCCTAGCTTCTCATAATATATTCATCTATTACAGCACTTGGTTGTAGGACTTGGAATAGCACTGATGCTCCTGCTTTTGAGTTATTGTTGATTTTGGTTACAATCGTAAAAACCATAGAGGGAGCAGTTATGAGCCAGCTGTTAATTGTGCAAAATTTAGGGCAACAGTTTGCTGCATCTTACCCTCTTTCTGCCTATTTATTTGTTGTAAATGTAATATTTATTGAGCAGCTTCTCTGTTTCAAGTGGGCCACTGTTCCTAGACTACCATCCTGTTTTCGCAAGCTGCCTTGCTGAACTGGCCCATTTGATTCACTGAGCTGCAAACTCTAGGACTCTTTAAGATTCCCACTTAGGAGGAGCGCAGGATGGGTGGGAGAGGGAAACTGTACTAACTGTGGTGTATTCAAAGTAATAGAGGCAGTTGTCAGTCAAGATGAACCAGCGTCGCTTCCAGGTCTTCACTCGTCCTCCTGAAAACAAGAAGGGGAAACCGTTCTCATTTTACATCTATGTCTACTTTGGTTGCTAAACTTTCTCTATCTTCATATTTTGGGGTAGGAAGCCATGCTTATGAACAAAGCCAATGCAATAAAGAATTCAAAAACAATATAAGACACAAGAGGGGGAAAAGGAAGAAAGAACAAGACAAAAAGAGCACAAAACTAAGTCAAAGTAATGAAACACAGCTGGAAAAGGTTCTAGGAGTTTGCAAAATAGTACCTTTTCCAACAGTGGATTTATTTTATGAGCACTGAAGGCTTCCAATTACTGTCTCCTATATTTTTAAACATGAGAATGGATATGATTCAAGAACTTTTTAATGCCAAGATTTGTAAGGCTGTCCTGAAGCTCATAATAGTGGGATAGTTTTGATTTGAGCATGTGCCTATGGAGATTGTCAGTCATCCAGGTGAAGGTTATCCCAAAGGTGCTTTTTCAAAAGGCAACCGAACTTTCTTGTTTTCCTTTGAAGATGTTTTGCTTCTCATCCAAGAAGCTTCTTCAGCACTGACTGGATGGTTTGGAAGGGAAAGATTGATATTCCTTGCAGACAGTTTTTGTCATTTGCATTCTTTTTAGAGTCACTGAAACCACTTGGAGTTTTATCTGTGTCCTCAGGGTCACCTGAGTCATTGAGAAATTGGAGCTGTGATTTCTGCAGGAAGTTTTCTGCCCTGTGTCCCCCTTAACTGTTGAACACAGGCTCAGGCTTTTGGGGATAACTTCTTCAAAGAAAAACAAAAAAGTCCAGTTGCCTATTGAAAAAAGGACCTTTGAGACAATTTGGGTGTGTGTTTTAGCAACTAAATATCAAGGTTATCACTGAGCATAAATTGATACTCTAAAAACAAATATACTCCTGACTTAAGACAAGCTACTCCAACAAAGCATAGCTGTGTCTCAGAAGCAAATCTCCTTTAAACAAGGTCACTGTGAAGAGTCTGGGAGAAATTTCTAGCCTCTCTAAACAAAGTTCTCAACTCCAGAGGGAAACAGCTTTTGCATAAGCACTTGATTCTTTTGAACTCAACCTACATTTTTAAGAAAAAGCAGTGCTTTTAGCATGCAAAGCAAGCAATTGCTCTAGGCTTGAAACAAGATACAAGTTCAAATTTGTTGCAAAGCCAACAGTCATTCCCAGCTTGAGGCAAAGCTAATCTGTACATATGCATGGGTGCAAATCTGGCTTATCACTGGATAAGGATTTCAACTCTTTCTTTTTTTTGCAGTCCTCAATTAAGGTAATTTCAAAGAGCACTTAGCCTCTCAAATGGAAATGGACAAAGCTATGAGATGCCAAAATATTCTTTGAAGACACATCAAAAATCCATAATCCACGTAGCCCAGTCTTTTGCTGCTTTGGACAATTGCAAGCCAGATACTTCTGGGAAGCTAAGGACAGCCTGAAGGCTGACATCCATAACATACTCCCTGCCAAACAGGTTGCATCTTGAAATCTGCATGAGTATTAAAAAGTACAAGAATCTATGTTCTGTGGCAGCCACCTTCTCTCTCTTTCTTTAATAGGGGAAAAAAGGATATATCAGTTTTCTAAACAGTAATCCATTAAGATAGATGGAATATTTATGACATGCAGATTGTGGACAATTCACAATCTATCTGCATACCTCCCCAAAATACCAACAATTGTACTGTTCGAATATGGTGGTAACAGGACTGAAAGTATGAGAGTTAACTGCAAAGCCTTGGGAGATGAAATTTTGTCATCACCCCACAAAACATGCTCAGCCTCTCAATCCATTAATGTTTGGTCCTTCCCTTCCAGTGGCACCACAGCTTCATTGTATGCAGCCCTGCCCTAAAGCTATAAGCATGATCAATTCAGACTTCTGTCAACAGCTGTGTCTATTACCTGGTGGTTTGCTGCAATGGGGAGGGGGAAACAGATTGAGAGAGAAGGGAAAGTGTCAGAAAGGGAAGAATGGAGTGTCAAAAAAAAAGGGGGGGGGAGAAAGAGAGAATGGGTGCCCCAACCCACCGATTTTGCTGCAGCCCCACCCTCTAATTAGCAAATGGTCCCAAACAGATGATCACTGAGAGAATGATAGAATACTCAACAGAAAATGGATGCTTGCCCCTGCATCAAGACATGTACCATATTCTAAGGGTGAAGAGAATGCTAGTTCCTTACATCTCCTCCACATTCATCTTGGATCCACTGAACCCGTCACAACTGATATTACAACATTCCCCACCCCTGCATGCCCTAAAGCCCAACCGCAGACCCACTTCCAGTCCAAGATGCGCCAGGCAAACCACCTCTCAGCTGCAAAGCAAAAGGCCCCCTCCTCTCACCTACCTCCTGGTTTGGGGGCAGTATTCAGACAGTAGAACAAATGTAGTCCGCACCGTGGGATGGTGGAGGAGAGAGGGGGGTAGGGTAGCAGTGGTGGGGAAAGAAGGGAGCAGAGAGAGAGAAGAGAAGGCAGGGACCAGGGGAGTCAGGATAGAGAAAATGGGGGTGAGAAAGAGAGAGAGAAGAAAAAGAGAGAGAAGAGGAGAGAGAAGAAGAGAGAGAAAGGAGAACAAGTTACATCAACATAAGGTAGAAGTACATGGTCAAATCAAAAATCCTCCAACACAGACATAGGCATTTGGGGGCAATGGGATAGGAAAATGGGACAGGAAGAGGGAGGAAGGTTTTAAATTTTATGGGGATGGGTATAAATGGGATAGACATTTCTTTGCTAAATGACAAGGCCTTTTAAACCTTTGACAGGTTCTCTCTCTAGCACAGGAGTGTCCAATCTTGGCAACTTTTGAGGTCCACAGGTCTCTTAAAATTGCCAAAGTTGGACACCAATGCTCCAGAGATTTAGATGACATTTACAAACCATGATGCAACCAACTTTGCTACATAATGGCCTCCACAGGGAGGCAAAAATGATTGCAACAATAGTTTGCTAATCACTCATTTCTACAGGTAGATTATTACATCACCAAGAGTTCTGGCTTGTCCAGCAAGCTGAATCTTAATCAAGCCAAGAATTCAGATTCCAATCACAGCTCTTCAAAATTAATTCATGGTCCATTTAATTCTCTGAGGAAAATGACTGGGCTAACTTCTATTCTCACTCCTCCTTTGCCCAAATATTGCTTTTTTCCTTGTTTCCTCCACCTTGAACATACAATGTTTGGGCCACACAATCCTCCTTTTCTTTTTACTGTCCTTCTGTCCTGCTCTATTTCAATTTGGCAACAAAAGACGTGCAATAATATTTTACCTACAGCAAACACTACATTCTAGTGTTGCTCGACCAAAGCACAGGAAAGGTGATGTGATAGGAAACAGCCACAAGAACTTAAAAGTGGTTTATTTTTACCAGCAAGTGTGAAATCGCCTCCATTTATATGCTTTTACTCCTTAACTTGCTTTCTGCTCTGAAGCCAAGATTTGCTATGAGAGCAAAAGAACCAACAGGAACATATACCCTGATTTAAGTTCTAACCAGAAGATAGAAGAGCAAAATAAAGCCGTTACAGGTAGTCCTCAACTTACAACCACAATTGGATTTCCAACTTGTCATTAAATGCACAGGTTTATGACCATTTTTACCACAGTTGTTAAGTGAATCATACAGTCACTAAGTGAATGTGGCTTCCCCTTGACTTTGCTTGTGGGAAGCTGGTTGGGAAGGTCACAAAAGGCAATCACATGAACTTGGAATGCTGCAACCGTGATAAATGCATGTGGGTTTCCAAGCACCCAAAATTGGATCACATGACCCTGGCAACACATGACTAAGGAGACACTGGAATAGTCATAAATGCAAAGACTATCTGTAAGTCACTTTTTACAGTGCTGTTGTAACTACAAACGATTATTAAACAAATAGTTGTAAGTCAAGGATTACCTGTACTATTCTATCTCAATCTCCTGGTAGGAAACCAGGACTCAGTGACCAGAGTCCCATCCAATCACTTAAAACAGCTGATCCCAAGGATTATACCATTTTTGACTCTATGATGTTGCTTTGGATTTCTTCTAGTTTGGATCTGAAGTTTTACACTCATGGCCTTGCCTGCTTTGGACCTTATATTGCACCTGGCTTACTTTGGAGGGAGAGAAAGATTTCCTGAGGGTCCTAAAGCTCACCTATTTTGTGCCTCACTCTTATCAAGAGTACTATTCCACTTTGCTTCAAGCTAACAATGTCATCATAAAGCAAGGAGGAATTCTTTGTCTCTGGTTTACAATGTAGCCCGAGAGTAGAGAATTACCAGTACTCTACAATATGCATTTTTATCTACACTAATAAAAATGTTTTATGACAGAAGTTAAACTGGTAGTAGTTCTGCTAATTGCCCTAAGTAATGTGGAAAAGCAAAGACTGCATCATCTGACTATGAATCCAGATTTAAGACTGGAATATTCCATTGTTTTGTTTTAACTTCCCCACAACTTATAAATGCATCCGATAGGTTTGAAAAGGTACCATCAATAATGGTGAAACATCAGACGCCAGAGATATGGCTTTCAGTGGCCTGACACTGGGGTTTTGGTTACTTGCCTGCTTTTAAAGGCAATTCACAAAAATCCCAGCAGACCCCTCTCATCATCTGTCAGAGAAGATCCACCTCAACTGGGAGGCGGGGAGAAAAATGAAGACCTCTGCAATTCAATGGATCCCCATGGTTTTTATTTATATATATATATAGGCAGATATATATCTTTGGTTAATGGGAAAGGGAGGGACATCAGGGTGGATTTCAGGAGGATCCCTTTGATCTGATGAAGAGAGAGGTCATGCTTTAAATGACACAACAGGTGGGGGGGGAAGAGAGGAGAGTGCAGAGGCGTGCAAAGATCATGGGGTAGGGGTGGTGGGAGAGGGCAGGGGGAAGGATAGCGGGGAAGGGGAGAAAAGGCCATAGTGTTTAAAGGGGAAACAGGGGGCGCGCCTCTCACCCAGCTTGAGGAGCCAGCCCTCGCGATCAGGGTTAAAAAATGTGTGAGTCAAGTCGTTCCCATCATCTTCTGGGATCTTGAAGGGCTCATTACGGATGCTGTCGTACAGATTCTAGCAGGAGGGGAGGAAGGAGAGGAATTACAGGCAGGATTATATTCCTTTCCAATTTGGCAAGAAAAAAGATGTTTGAATGTCCATGGCACAGTGACCATGCTTGGTTAACTATACAATGGAGTGGATAAAATAATTCAGAAAACGCACTTGCAAATGAAAGCAAAGTATTTAAAATGTAGAAGAAACTGCAGTCGCAGTAATAGCATTATGTTAAAACAAGGTATGAGAATAGGGCTTCCCAACCTTGGCAACTTTAAAATGTGTGAACTTCAACCCTGCAGAATTCCCCAGTATGGCTCCCACTAGCCTTTAAACCAGAGAATCATCTAGCTAAAAAACAAGCCTTGCATTCACTTTGCTAACTCCTCACCCGCAGCAACTCCTCCGGCAAGTCGCCCCCATCATTGATACCACGGTTCATAGTGATGAACCTCTCGACCGTGGGCTTGTCTCGGACATTGGGGTTGTGAAGGCTGGTGTTTAGCATGATGACCGCGAAAGAGAGGACATAACATGTATCTGGGGGAACAAAGAACTAAATAAGCATTTCAGAGCTTACTTCTACACATCTGAGTAGATGTGAGGTACAGGTTTTCTGCTTGTAAGTTCTTGCTAGAGGATTAAAATCATTACTATAGGAAAAATACTTGAGGGGACGTAAGTTATGGAACTTCAGCTCATTTGTTTCATCTTTTGGGCTGCTCTGAAATGCTGTGAGTACCTTATTATAGAGCCTTTAGACAGGACCATTTCAGACTACTCTATAATAGAATGTGCCAATGACCCTGGGAGACAGAAGGAAGAGCCGCAGCCTAGACAGTTATCTCACCCCATCAAAGCGAAGGGGACATGGAAAACCTATAAGGAGGGATTCACCCTGGTTTTCTGCAGAATAAAAGTAAATGACTGGAGAAATTATTTTCAGGCTTGCAAGGTTCTGCTAATGTAACCTTAGAATAAAAATAGTTAGCAGTTCTAATTGTGCTTCAGGTCTGAACTACTTAACAGGCTACATGAGAAAATATTTTAGAAATACTTCCTGTATGAAGCAACCTACATGCTTCAGGGAAAGAATGTGATGCAAAGCTTTTCTCTAATGTGTTTAAGTATTTTTAAGGAATATTTGAAGGAAATATTCAAACATAATGATTCGAACATATATAGGCGTAAAACCACAACTGAGCCCAAACTTTCTGTTGCTAAGCGAGATATTTGTTGTGAATTTTGCCCTATTTTATCACCTTTCTTGCCATAGTTGTTAAGGTAGTAACACGATTGTTAAGCTTCCCCATTGACTTTGCTTGACAGAAGTTTGCAAAAGGTGATCACATGACTCTGGGACACTGCAACCGTCATAAATGGGAGTCAACTGCCAAGTGGCTGAATTTTGATCATGTAACGATAGGGATACTGCAACAATCATAAATGTGAAAAATAGATGTCACTTTTTTCAGTTCTGTTGTAACTTTGAATGGCCACTAAATGCTGTAAGACGAGAATTACCTGTATGTAATTTACTCTCCTATTCTCACCTTATTCTACACAAGCTATTTCTAACAAGTAGTTTTTAGAATATTTAATAGCTTACGATTCAGATAAACAGGTATGTGAATCAAAGGATAACTGTAACTATACTTAGAAATAGATTAAAGTAGGCTGTGGCCCAATGCAGAACGATCTAGTACCATCTTTGCTGCGATTCTAACAAAGATCCCCATTTAAGGCAATCTGAAATCTGATTCTGCAGGGTAAAATTGATCCCTTGAAACTTAGGATCACTCCACTCCAGGGTAAACAAGTTGTGGTTACAGAACGAATTTGGCCAACTGAGGCCTAGGTGAAGGTTTTCTTCTTTCCTGAAACCCCTCTTTTCAGATAAACATTTATTGCTTAGTTACCCTTTCATACAAGAGATATCTAAAGTTCAAGGCAGTGTATATAGCAGGGGTCCCCAAACTTGGTAATAAGACTTGTGGACTTCAACCTCCAGAATTCTCCAATCAGCTACATCTTAAAGTTGCCAAGTTTGGAGACCTCTGGTATATAGCCTTTCCCAACTCCTATTTTCCCACCAGAACCCAGGTACAATGCACCATACTGATGCAATAACAGACAATGAGGTGAGGTTTCCTTGGTGCTCTCTGATCTTGGTTATTTTCTTGCAGAGGTTTCATCAGGCAACATCATCAGTGCAATGACTGCAGGAAAACAACCAAGCTTAGACAGCACCAAGGACTCCTCATTTCAAGCCTTAGCTACAAATATTCTCCTTTATTAGGACAATGAGATCTCATCTCTTCCAGTTATTGAATCGATTGTTTTTTAATTCAAAGAACATGTGTTTGATAGAGCATGCAAAATGTGTGACAAAGTAGAGGATCAACCAATGTTTCTGAACTTCTCTTACAATTTAATAAGGTTTTTTTGGAGGGACTTTGGCTCTCACATCGAAAAAATTATTCTCTTGAAGCTTTGTACTTTTATAGACATTAATGAACCTTTAATTCTTGTAAGCAGGAAAGATATGCTCTGGAAGCAAGTATCAGTGAACTCCCAGGGAAATAAATGGCAGGAATGTCCTGGTACTGCCCACATTCTTCATTAACTCAGAGGAGGCCTGAGTTTAACTAAAGAGACCCCGTTCTCTTTCTCAAGAAATGCTGTACCTGTAGACTGAAAGACCCCTGGGTTGCACAGACAGTACCGCTGAGCAAAGGCTTCCATCATACGATCGATTTTCTGGGCTTCTCCTGGTAATCGAAAACTCCACAGGAACTGCCTGCAAAGAGGAATGGGAAGCCATGAACAGGAGAAGTTCTCATTTGTCTGATCTGAAATACAGGTAGTCCTCAATTTACAGCCACTCATTTAGTAAACACTCAAAGTTACAATGGCTCTGGAAAAAAAAAACCACATATCACCTTTTGCAACCTTCTGACAAGCAAAGTCAATGGGAAAGACAGATTCACTTAACAACCATGTTACTAATTTAACAACCACAGTGATTCACTTAACAACTCTGGCAAGAAAGGTTATAAAGTGGGGCAATCACTTGTCTTTCTTAGAAATTTTGGGCTTAATTGTGGTTGTAAGTCAAGGAGTACCTGTATTGGATATGTTCTTTATTTTGAAAACTAGAGATCCTACAGATCTCATTATACAAATTGATTCCATAGCTGGGATGTTTGGCGTTCTGAGTGTTTCTATCCTTTCATTTCTTTGCATTTTATTTTCAGCATTCCTTATATCTAGCAAAGGATGAAGTGCTCCTCAGCATGAGAGACCACTTCAATTTCCCTCCAGTATCTCTAAATCCATCTAGAAGTACAAATATTGCATGTTTAGAAAACAAATTCAAATTTATGCTGTGCAGCATTCTTCATTCAAAGAAATTCACTTCTTCGTTCCTTCCTTCCCTCCCTCCCTCCCTCTCTTTTTGTATGTTTGGTTTTCTACTGTTCTTTGTTTTTGTATGTTTTGACAACTGTAAGCTGTCAGGTGACATATACATTTAATATATTATTGTGGTTCGTTAAAGTCAGCCAGATGTTCCCAAGGATCTGTGAGAGTCTGATGGCATCAAAGCTATTGTTGCAGGATAAAAAGCTGTTCCAAGTAAAGCTGCCTTTTTCAACTGACTGATAGTGATTTTGTCAACACCTATGGGGTTGAAGTGCTGCTTCAGATGTTTTGGGATTCCACCCAAGGAGCCGATCACTATGGGTACTATCTTTATTTTCTTTTTGCCACAGCTGTTCTACTTCTACTTGCAAGTCTTAGAATTTTATGTCTTTCTCCAATTCTTTCTTTTCTATTCTGTTCCTTTCAGCTATTTCACTGCTCACTACCCAGACTTTTTTGTTTTCTAACTACGTATTAAATTTGGAGAATTACATGGCAGGTGATTGTTTGAACGCCAAACTCCCAGAGCACTTTAAGCTTCTAGTAATTTTCTATTACTTTGTATATTTTGGGATCCCAATAATTCTGGCTTACAGGCAAGTGGTTATTTCTTGCAGAAATTCCAATGCTCTTTGTTGCTACATTGTTGTTTCACTGTTTGTAGTCAATCTGTGTGATCTTCTTGCAGCAACTAACTAGGAGACAGCATTGGCTGTCTGTGTTTTCTTCTTAATTCTGACTTTCTATGCATTTGTTCTTATAGAGTTTGGTCTCATAAACTATAATTAGCCTTTGTACCTGAGATTCATTACCTACAACAACCAGTATGCAGTTGGGAGATAAAGTATAACAAAATATGGAAAGCCAAAGGATCCTCTGCCCATCTATATAGAAACATATCATGACAAAGTTAAGAAACGGGGTATAGTGTCATACATAAATCATAGTATAGATTATAGACTATCCTATATATTTGCTATAGAGAAGTATAATAAATGAGACAAATGCCAAAGGATGGCATTTTTCCTCTTACAAAATTAAAGGAAGGGCTGTGGGAATTGATGCCCATTCATCTACAGGGTGAGTTGGGTGAGGCAGGAACAGAAGTGGTGACTTCAGGCAAGCTCTGCTTCCCCTTTAGCAGGAGAAACAGTAAATTCTTGCTCTTATTCCCTCCACCCCACCCCCAAGGATAGGAATGAGAGGTACTGCAGTCAAACTGTTGGAAAACGACTGTAGCTAATGAGGATTCAAATACAGTAGATGACTGAAGATTTCCACTCACCTGAGAGCTTGCACTAGATTGAGGTCAGTAAATTCATGCAAATCAACAAAGGCATGAAGCACACCAATATTAAACTCCTCCCTGAATAAAAGATTAAGAGAGTTTGTATTAATCCTGTCCCTTTGAAGGCACAATTATTCCTATCATCCCACTCACTAAAATGTTTACCCTATTTTCTTTCCTCGTGACCTCTTAAATCTGCTTAGAATTCATTACAAAACAACCAATTTTGGTCTTCTCTTATTGGCAACCCCCCTCCTTTCTGAATAAATTTAATCTACCACACTTCAGAATCTGTGCTCTTTTCCAGTGTCCCAGGAAGCTCTGTACTGTAGTTTAATCTGCATGGTATTATCAATGGCTGCAATCTTTGTCTCATTGGCTTCTCTCATGGCCGTTCTTGCTCACCTCTCACCAAGGTAGTCCCCAATGGCTGTCTTGTTGAGGCCTTCCCCTTTGTAGAGGAAGCGAGCAATATCCTCAGGTGTGGAGCGCAGAAGTTCATTTTCTACCAGGAATTGTATTCCCTGGAAAAGGCAATGAAGTGAAAAAATGTAGAACAGACACAAATATGTTCCCACCCTCAAATTATCTTTATCTCAGATATCGCAGAAAAGTTACTTTGTTATTTGTGTGTGCGTGTGTGTGTGTATGTGTATCTTGATTTTTTACAAATACCTTCCTTCTCCTATTTTCCCCACAACAAAAAACCTGGAGAGTGGTTTGGCTTGAGAGAATGAATGGCCCAAAATCTTGCAGCTGGTTTTCATGGCTAAGGCAGGACTTGAACTCAGTCTCCTGCTTTCTAACCTGATGCCTAATCATTAGACCAAACTGGCTTTCTGGGTTTCTCAACTGGGTTTCCTGCCCCTCAATCATGTGATTCTGTAAACCTAACCAGTCCTGGAGGATTGGGGGCGGGGTGGGTGGGTGGAGAAGAATCATGAATCTTCATTCCCAGCAATTCCTGTATCGGCAATTCCTTGGACAAATCTTTTGATATCATAACATGCAGACCCTTCACCCACTTACTTTTTTGGGATCCATGTTGAACTTCTTACGTCCCATCCCCATCTTCCGGTTTCTTTGTAGAGTTTTACTGTCCAAGACAAAGAATCATAGCTTTGACTCTTAGAGAAAGGAACTGCAACATTTTAAGCTCATTTAGGTTTTTGAATGCATCCACAGGTAGACCTCGGTAAATTATAGTAATTGGGACCACAATTTCCATCACTAAGCCACACACTAATTAAGCATGGCAATACATGACCAGCAGGCTCCGTTGCCATCTTTAATAAAATCCTGCCGATCATTAGGCAAGGACCCACTTGATTCAAACCATTCCTAGATTAGTCTCTCCCAGCCCTGAGCCTTGGGAGGTAAGGGGTTGCCTCCCCTCAAAGTTTCCCCAATTGCCTGTCTTCTCCCTCCATCTCTGCTCTTTTGGCCATCCTGCACAATGACACTTCTCAGAGGTGGTGGCAGTGGTGGCGCAAGGGCAAACAAAGCAGGGGCCTGGGGCCTTCAGTAGCCCCAGTCAGCCACTACTGGGCCTCTATTTCAGCCCCAACTCAGGTTTTCTGAAGCATTCGCAAGACAGACACTCCAAATTTAGAGAAGGGTATATCTGACCTTGGGAAGGCGGCCTCGCACAGCCAGAAGCTGCCTCCCACAGAGCAAGGCTAACCCACCTTATCAACAGTGGAAGGAAGAAGAAAGTGAAGGTTAGGTGGGCATGGCAGGGCTATCAGAGTGCAGAGCAACAAAGGCTTTGTGCTGCTATTTAAAATAAATAGCTCCTTTCTGGGAATCATTTATTTTCTGTCTCTCAAGAATGATGCTATCTCACAATACCCCTTTGTTCTCATAATATAATACAAGTAGCCATGAAGAATATACTTAATTCAGTTCCCAAATCCAGAACAGAGAAAGCTGCCTTTACAAAAAAAAAAAAAAAAATGATTCCCCCAAGGCAAAGGAAGAAGTTCAGACTAATATTTCCTACAATTAAGGCTGCAACCTACAAAACAACTTTTTGTCATTGACTCATATTTTCATTTGACTGATTAACTTCCACCAATTAAAACTGCATAACTACACATCATACAGCTGAAGAAAGTAGTATACTTACTGAGTTTCATCTGTGCTCACACAAATAGTAATAGGCACTATCTTTATAAAATCATTTCTTCTACAAGGACATTCCTTCTACCGTGTTTCTCATATAATAAGGCCGGGTTTGTTTTTTTTTTGAGCCCCGAAAAAATGGCTAGGCCGTCTTTTTGGGGGTGACTTAATTCCCCCCCCCCCTTGCATCTTTGGGCGGGCGGGCAGCGATGGCTTGGATGTTGACCTCAGAGTTGGTGGGGCACTTCATACTGGGGTCAACGCAGGCAGCACCATATCCGGGTGTGCAACAAATGTACTTTCTAACGGCAAGCCCCCCCACCATTCCCCCCCATTTTGCATGTTTTAATATAGGCCTTAATTTGGGGGGGAGGGGCTTAATTTCATGCCTATAAAACATGCTGGGACTTCCTATTGGGGGAGGCCGTATTGTTGGAGAAACAGGGTATCTCCAAAGGAAGAACAGAATACGTAAGATACAGATAGTCCTCACTTAACAACTGTCTCATACAGCTACAACAGTGATGAAAAAGTAGTTTTACGTCCAATCATCAGATTCACAACCTTTGCAGGTCTGTAAAGCAAAGGAAAGTTGAAGTAAGACTGTAAGCACAGTTGTGGTTTCACTTTGCAACCACTTCATTTAACAAGTGAGTTGCTAGTCCCAGTTGTGGTTGTAATGACATTTATATAAAACTGTTGCTCAATAATGAAGAGCATCTTTAAAAAAATTAAAGATTCTGACCTCAAACGCACACAAATTTTAGAGATTTCAAAAATACTCTAGTATCAATGGAAGCCACATTATTTGTATTATATATTAAAAGAAAATATCAGAAGTCAAGGAAACAGCAGATAATTAGAACAGGCATATCCTGAGATGACTCAGAGACTCATATGTTCAGAGAAGACTGGAACAGTCTCAGAAAAGCCTGTGCTGAAACCTTAATGTCTTCAGAGGAAAGCAGACTTTAGACCAGTGGTTCCCAATCTTGGCAACTCCCAAAATTCCCCCGCCAGCATAGCTGGGTAGGGAATTTTGAGAGTTGTGAAATTGTCAAGGGAAACCCCTGCCTTAGATATTCTTTTCTAGGGAGAAGGAATCCCTCACCTTCCCTCATTGGCCTCCAGCCCCTCCACTTCATTCATGGCTTCACTGAGTTCATCTCTCAAGCGTTGGATTTCCACCAAGAGCTCCTGCTTCCGTCGCCGGATGTTCTCCAACTCTAGCCTCTCTTCTGGTGTCAGATCTGGAGGCACTGCAATGGAAGGGAGGAAGCAGACTGAAGAAAACATACCCTTCTTGTCACTTTGAATCATTAGAGAAACCAGAGGTGTCTTTTCCAATGAGTCCAAATCCAAATTTATGCCTCCATCTCAGTAATTTGTGACAGTGTCACATAATCAAAAGGGAATATACAGGTGGTTCTTGATTTTTGAGCAGTTGCTTAGCAATTATTCAAAGTCCCAATGGACCTCCCCCCAAAAGGTACTTATGACCCATTTCCAGTGGCTGGTTCTCCCCCTCCCATTGCGATTTATGATATTTTGTTGATAATCAACATTTACTTCTGGTTTTCAGCAATAAAAAAAAGTTATAAAATTGGTCCGGTCACATGATGACTGGTTTATGACTGTCACAACTTATGACCGTAATGGGCAGGATCTATTATGGTTGAACAACAATCAATATATATATTATGTCTTAAGTAATATATCTGATCAAGGTAGACCAGATCAGAATCAGATTCCACAGGATTTCTTTAGTCATGGCTGACTGAAGTTCATGAACAAGGACGTAAAGAATGGGTAGACTAGTTCTTCGAATCTCACCGAAGAACAAGAGCTTCAGAGTTTGGCCACAAGAATTCTTTATGAGGAGACCATAAAATAGTGGTCTCTCATTGAGTTTGAGCACTCTCAAGTAGCAGCAGAATTTTTCCTAAAGACATTAAGCCAAACAAACTCACTTTGGAATTACATTCATTTCACCATTTTATGGATATTGGAGACCTTCTAAATGGCAATCTTGATTTCTAATTTGACACCTGGTGAGTTTTACCTTCTTTGGATTTAAGAAATTTTAAGCAGAGAATTTAAAATAATATACAATTGGCAAAAAGCAAACAAAGTTTTAAATAGATAGGAGACCATAGAGTTTATTTTTGCTGTAAGATTTGAAAACAAGTCTATAAATTAAATAATATACTCATAGGAAATGACTGATACAAAATTAAACCCATATTAGGAGCTGAGGCTTGATGAAGGTTGCAAATAAAAACTAGAGGCTGTAAGTCTGCCAGAGTCACTTTTATGAGATGAGAGGCCATATAAATGTAAATAAATAAAAGTCCAGGAAGAAATTACTTAAATCTTAAAGATTTTTGAAGCATGAACTGAAATATTAATAACTAATACCTCAGAAAAGATACAAATTTTAATGGAGAAACTTTTAGATGATGAGAAAAACTTTCTAAAAGCCCTTTACTTAACATATGCATTACAGAGTTTGAAGTCATGGAAAATAAGAAAACTGGTATTAACAAAATGGGAATATCTAAGACAAATTTTTAAAAAGGACCTGAAATTGGAACAGTTGTGGCAAGAAATCCTTGGAATTCTCTTTATGGGATTTTCAAAGTAGGCTAATGGAAACTATGAAAACTTTTAAATATCAAAAAGTGATAATCAAATCTAAGATGCCGTAAGAATGATTTAAAGGTCAAGATTGCAGAGAGCAAAAAAGAAGGAAGATAAAGTTGATTATTTGACCAGGGATAAACTCTTTGATATTTTTACTGAGTCCTAGTGGACTTTTTTTTTTTTTTTTTTGCTGAACTAAGATTGAAAAGATGAAGAATTCTTGATTGCATATTAATAAAAGTTAGGGTGTGAGCTTTTGTTTTTATTTGTAACTTTAAAAGAAAGTTAGTATATTAGCATGTGATAGTTAATGATAGTGTCTTTGTTGTCTTTTTATTTTTATTTTTCCTGCACCTTCTGAGTTTTTCTTTTCCTTCTAATTTGGTTTATATTGGTTTTTACTATGCTTATTAAAAACTTCAATTAAATTATTAATAGAAAAAGAAAAAAAACAGATTAAACAGGAAACCTAGAACTATATTTTATTGAGATAGACTTAAGAATAGAATCTTGCATCTTGCTGTGTTTTATCTTTTTCCCCTCTTATATCCTAGTGTATCAAACCTGCCTGAATCTCTTGCCAATACTGTCTTGCTTCCCAAAGCTTAAGGAATGTTTCAACCTTATTTGCTTATATAATGATCTCACCTGTGTCCTTAAAATTATCTTTTCAGCTTTTTATGTTAAGTGTTTCTTTATCTCAGCAACTTTACTATTGTCAGTTTATCTCTCAGAATTCCAGCAAGGGAGAAGTCCATACATCTTAAAGCTGCTGAGGTTGACAAACATTAGTCTATACCCACATCCAAACAAAAGCACCCCTTACAGATGGCTATTAAGTCACTGTCTGAACACATCCAGCGATGGGAAACCCCTTGTCTTGTTTGACAATTGATTTCACTATCGAATCGCTATAAGGAATTTTTCCTAGCATTCAGTTGGAATCTATCCTCTCTTTGGGCAAGACAAGTCCATGCAATGCCAATCTTCAATGTTATATAAATGCTTATTATCATTCTTTCATCGTCCATATTATTTACATCGAACTCCTCCTTCTCGCTAGGACTTGTGACCGTCTTAAAACAATTCCAATCTTGTTAGCAGATGCAAGCTTTAAAGTGGTTATTCAAGATTCATTTACAATGTGTGCGTAAGAGGAACCAAACTGTCAAAAAAACTGAAGTTCACAGGTCCAAATGTTGATCTCTGGATAGTGCCTGAGTCATTAACACTGGCATAATCTACTTCACAGGGTTGTTACAAGCAGGAAATGAGATGAGTAGAGAATCAGGTATGTTGCAAAGGAAAGCAAGATATATAAAATAATAATAATAAAAACCTTTGCAAAAGCCACTTCCTCTAGGTCTAAGATGTCCAGCTTTCAGCTCAGAGGCACTCCCACAAGAACTTATAATGAAGACAGCCTGCAGGTGTGGGCATATGCACATGCAGTCCTCTGAATAATTCATGTTTGTTTGTAAAAGCAATTAGGGGAAGGACACAATAGCCAAAATCTTTTTGAGTTACAAAAACTTTAATTCAGTTTCAAAGAAGAAATGGGAGTTGCTTAATTATTTTATTGAAAATGAAAGAGCCCAGAGGCAATGAAAACCTGAAATATGAATATATATAGATATTAATAAGTATTATAATATTAATATATACTAATCTATACTAATACATATTAATATATATTATATTTATTAAATGTATATGCTACTGATCTCACAGTCTGAGCAATTCTGAACAGCCAATTCACCTTAGTAAAAACGATTATTATAACGAATTATGCCCAACACCGTTTTTAACTAAGACTTTTTAAACCATTCCTTGGCAGCTCACATATATTTAAATAAGAAAATTATTATTAAAATAATATTAATAAATAAGATGTAATATTAGTAGCAGGGGTAACATGTTAAAAATAAACAGGATGAGAGTCTATGATTTACAGTATTTACATAATTCTCGCCCCTTTCCCCTCGCAGCATGGTTGGATCCAACCACAAACTGCCCCTTCCCTCCGAGGAATGGTACAGCCTCCTATTTAAATTATAACGGTGCTTTTTAGAGCCGTCTCATCAATTCCTTTAGTAGGTTGCCAATTCTCACCCTCCTCCATCTCTTTCGAGAACCACTTAAACAGACCCCCATCCCATTTTATCTAATTGGAAGTCACAGACAATGGTGCATTCCACCCTCCCTCTTGTCATGGTAGAGCCTAAAAATCCCACCCTACTCCCTGCCCGATTCATGTAATGGTATATCTTAGTGGATGGAACGCGTCGCACGCCTTATCATTAAATGAATAAAATCCAGATTTCCCCCTTTCCTTATTATGGAACGGGCCAACCCGGCATTCCCCTTCTATTTCGCATGGTTTACTCCAGCCTCACCCCTCTTTGTAAGGATCGGCCCCGCCCCCTACGCAACTGGTACTGAATGGCTCAGTCCACCCACTCTTTTTCCTATTGTAGTTATTGGGCGGGTCTCGTAATGGCACTATCTGCCCCTCTTATCTTCCCTCTAAGTTCCCAATAGAAGAATTTTAGGGAGCCCTACCATAGATACCGTCCTCCATGACGACCAGAGTGTCCCCAAACAGGGCCAAAGGGAACCCCAGTTTCTCCTTGCCTCCTTTCTTCGGTGCTGCAACAGGAATGCCCTTCTACAGCAGCCGGGTTCTAAACTGAAAGGAACGTTCCGCCTCTCATGAAAAGCGTAGCCAATAGGAAAGAAAAACCTCGAGAATAGCCACCTAATAGCCAGGAGAAGCAGCCAATAGAGAGGAAATTCTTATAAATTACATATACACTCGTACACTATTGTAGCAACCAATAGGCATCCTCGGCATGATATTGACAGGTGAATTGTTCAATGAAATCTTACACTAGCCCACTCATTTTTGTGGCCTTGTACTCGGCGTACTTTGAGCCGGTTCATTCTGTGCACATTTCAACGAAGATATAGAAATCGTATAGAGTCCTTTAGAGTTTTTATTCAAATGACTTGGGGAAGGATCATATTTCCTTTGTCTGATGTCCCAAAAAGGATTCAGCGATTTCGATCCAAACAGCAGCAGCTCCTATTTTTGCTCCTGTAGTTCATTTCCAATTATTCTAACTTGCCATTCTCATAAATGGGCGGGGTATTTTGTCTCTGTCCCAGGAAAAACAAATTATATTCAAATCTCATCCTCTTCTATTTGTACGTTTATGCATTCCGAACGTCTTAAACGTCACCCTTCGAGCCCCGCCCTCATTGCATAACTGTCAATCAAGATGAGGGAAGCGTAAGCAACCCAATCGAGACCGGCTACTGTATAAGGACTGCAAAAATAAATAAAAAATAAAAAAATCCTGCTCATCAGGAGATGCGGCAGAGGACAAGGTTTTTCAGCCTGGGCAAGTGAGACGTGTTTCCCCTGCAGCTCCCAGAATATGCTGGCTGGGGAATTCTGGGAATTGAAGTCCACAAGTCTTCAGGTTGCTCAGGTTGACAAACGTTTGAGTTTTGTGTTGTCTCTTTGCTGCCACCTTGTCGTCAGCTAGACTTTTGCAGCCCAAATTCCATAGGCCTGCCAGAATCATAGGGTGGTTGTCTCCATGGCCACTACTACATTTAGTTGCCACATCAGTGAGGGTTTTCCCTTTATCCTGCTGCTTTATATCGTTTATTCCCTCCATCCTGCCGCTGAGGTGCCTTAAATCATCTCTTGCTATTCTGGTGTTAAAACCCCATATTTCCTTTTTTCTTGACACACTGTTGTGGATACTATCAAGCACATCATTTGGAAACCCAGGTTGAATGCTAACACTAGACCCATGTTTACCAAACTGAACCCAAGCACAAAGATGAGTTTCAACTGGGAGAAACAGGCACCTCCAGCTAAGTGTTGCTGATTTTATCCCCATGAGCACCATTTGTTCAACAATTGTTTGCAATTATGATAGCAAATGTTGAGACTTGCAACTTTCCCTTGAACGTTTGGCCTTCACAACATCCCCCAGTCAGGTAAGAACGATTCAGGCACTTGGCAAATACCTTGCAATTAGAACATCACAATGTCATGGGATTGCCGTTTGTGACCGTCATTGCTTGTTTCTGACAAGTAAGGTCAGTGGTGAAACCAGCAGGAAATTGCAAACAGGAATCACATGATATTGCAATCACATGGGATTTGGCTAACCATTGTAGGAAGTTAGCACCCATCCCTCCTAGAAAAATGAAATATCCTAGGAAATAATAAAAAGGCAGAATATTTCCCCTAAAAGAGTAGAAACACAGAAGCAGAAACTCACCTCAGAAGCAGAAGCTCACCCCCACCTTTGTTAATGGGTGGGCCATTAAGGCCTGGGCCAGAATACTTTACATAACAAAGATCTCCAGGTAAAGCTATAGAAATTGCCAAAATCCCTTTCAATGCATCATCATCCAGCAAGGCTCAACCAAGCCTGGAACTCAGGTGAAGCCATGTGGTCCAGACCAGGGGTCGACAACCTTTTGGACCTCAGGGACCACCCAACTCATAATTTTAAATCCCAGGGACCACTAACTGGTTCTGCGGGCGTGACCTAATTTGTGGGTGTGGTTTTGTGGTCATGTGACTGGCTGGGCATGGCTTGTATGTAAATATTATAAATATTTATATAAATATTGAATTTTTTATTAAAACAAGAGCAACTTTTATCCAAAATCAGGCAAAGCAGGCAGGCAGATTGAGTTGCTCACAGAATCATTCAGTGACCTATCTATCTGCCATCGAGTAGCTCACTCTCTCAAATTTGCTTGCCGTGAGAACCTTCAGTCCTAAGGAAGGTTCGGCTGTGTTTAAAAGCAGAGCTGAAGATCTAAAGACTAGCTAGAAAGCAAGAAACCCAACAATTTCCTGCTTACTAGCTAATCTAAATCTCCCGGCACAGCAGAACACCGGATGGTCGGAAAAAGGAAAAATAGCAAGTTTGCTGGGTAAGGAGTGAGTTGGCAGGGAGGGTTCCCACGGGCCATGTGGGTGGCGCAGCCTTGTGTTTCTGCGCAGCCTGGATTAATTGCTTTGGGGGGGTGCTCTGGGGGTGAGATTTCTCTGCGGCCCACCAGTGGGCTGCGGCCCACCGGTTGGCAACCACTGGTCCAGACAAAATCTACAAAGTTAACTAAGACCCCCACCTCCGGGAGTCTGACAGCCAATGGGATACATTTCTTGCACAGGAACAGGAAACACTAAGGTGGGACCCAATAGAGGGTATATAAGGGTCTCTCAGCATCTTGGCCCTTCTTTTCCTTCACCCAACATCTTGCAACATGCGATCATCCTTTTCATTTTGGAGCTCCAAGCCATGTGGTCCTGTCCACCATTAAACCATCTTTCCAAACAGCCTCCATGTTTCCAGTGTCTTTTTCCCCACTTGGAACTGAACCGAGAAGGATAATTCTTCCAACACAATGACAACTGGAACTGCCATAACTGCCATCAGAAGCCAGCATGGTCATATGACATCATGCTTTATGAATGTTGTGCAGTGACAGAATTCATGGCCCTAATTACCATATTTTAGTCAGGATTACCTATGTAAGATTGTTGCTGTTTCTGTCAGAAAGGTCTATTGCTTGTTGGGGAAGGAATGCCAGATTTTGTCTACTTCTCAGGTTCTTTCTGGATGTTGCTGGTTGTGGCTGCTAGAACTAGAACTGCTGTTCCCTTGCAGAATCAGTCAAGGACAAAGATTGCTGCTCCCTCCCTTGTGTTAACTTGCACTACTCATCAGTCTTGTTATTTGTGACATGGGCTCTTTTGGGACATGGGTTATATTTTATTTTAGAAGAGTGCTGGATCCATGTTCCAAAATAGCTCATTTGACAGGTGAAAGTCACAGAGCCTTTCTGCTCCTGTCATCTGATAATGGGATAATTTGGTTGTTGGCGAAACTGCCATTCCAGATGGTTTCCTCCACTTGTCCCACTTTGCCCCCTCCCCACATGCACCTATAAGGGAGAGCAATTGGAGAAGCAAAGCCAGAAATTTCTTTGTCTTGTTCCGTGTTAAAAGCAAAGATGGCTCCATTTGCTGGCCTTGTAACTAAAGCAGAGAAGGGCTTGATTTTCAAGGCAGGGCATCGCAGCTGGCCTCTTTTCTGTTGCCCTTTAATACAACCACCTGGCTGTGTTGGCAGAAAGTTATTTTGCTGGCCTCAGAAGCAGACAAGAAAGGGAGTAGCAGAGAGATCTAGACAGTTGCTTGTCTTTCTTGTATCCTTACCTGGTAATTCACTTAAGGACCCCTTACTAATTAGTAGGTGCAGTGATCTTTGTAAAGCTTTGTAGCAGAAAATTATCTGTTATCTTACTTATGTACTTAATTGCTACTTAGAAGAAGATGAATGCCAGATAGGGAGAATTGTTTATTGGTTTACAATCTCTTCCAAATAAGGATTTGTATGCAATCCTTCAGAGCAGCCCTGTTTAGAATTACATAGAAAACAATTTGCCAGGTAAGGCTTTAGCAGTCACTCTTAATCTTACCTGATGTATTAGAATAGCCTCCCACTAATCTGATGCATGCTCCCCCCCCCTCAAAAGTGTATGTTTGTACATCCCTGGGAGCTGCTGTCCAATGCATCTAGAATAGGGAACTCTACATTACAGTGCATCCTTTTTAAAAAAGCATCTCTATTTCTATCTGCAAAAATCCAATCACTAAAAGACAGCGAAATATAGAATTTTGAAACTCTTTGCTATCTGATGGCGCTTTGAACGCATGCAGCACAGAAATGCATGTAATGTTCCTCATGAATTATAAAACTTGGTTGCATTAAATACAGGGGTATATGCAGCTGTAACTCAGAATAATATTTCATAAATTTCTTTATTGCTGAGATAAATGTAAAGAAATGTAAAGAAACAGTTGCTGACTTACAGTCTGGGTGAAATATCTGTTGGATCATAAATGTTGGAAATAATTGATCAACTCTACAAAAATTATTGGATGTCTAGTGTACAATGTTTCTTACTTGTTAAAGTGACACAGGACTGAGTTAGCTGGATGAGACTCTCGCATTAAAAAAAAAACCCAATGCAGTGCTGTTGCAAGCTTGCAATTCAAGTGATAGACAGTAGAGAGTGGAATTTGATCATCTCGCTTGAAGCTTCCATTTCTTCTGCCAGAATCTCTTAAACGAATGGATGAGGTGACAATAAACTGCAGTGCTGTTATTGGGGGGACTGACAGAGCTGAGAAAAAAAAAAGGCTCTTTCAGATAGCAAAATGTATGAGTGTTGACTTTTGAGCCTGAGGCAGGGCAGGAGGATGGGTCACTTCTGAATCACCTATGTCAAACTATTCTATGGATGCTCATCAGTTGGCCATTGGCCAAGCAAGTTGGCCAGTGATAGATTTAGCGCTAATACAGAACAGAGATGGACCATGTTACTATAGCCCATTTCCAGTGAATCTTAACTCTTTTCATGAGTTTATGAAGCTTGTTAAAATAATTCTTTGGAGATGTGATACACTTTGCTGTATCCTTTTCCTTAAGCATCTGTATCTCTGCTCAGTTCTTTTACAAACAATCTTCAAATTCAGTTTATATGAAAGAATTAAAAGAGGAGAAGAATAGCTCCTTTCAAAACTTTACCTTCCCTTGGGGTTTCCAGGAGAACGCAAGGCATTTGAGCAGGAT